TACTCAAACGTCAAGAGAAGTCTATAAATAAAATTAACAATGATAGAATCAAAATTGAAAATAAGCAAATTAAGTTGGAAAAAAAACAAATTAGAATAGAGTATAAACAAGAAAAAATCATTTTTTATAATTCTATATTATTATTGATTGTTGTAGTTTCTGTATTAGTTAAATATGATTTCTTTTTGTAATTATAAATATTATAAACTAAAAACTATTAATAAAATGGCAGCATTTTATAGTATATATTAAGTTTCTATTAAAGATAGCTTTTCCAATATACTTTATAATGAAAAACACTTATAAATCAAAGGTTTCTCTAGAAAAATATCAGTATCAGTCATAGACTGCATTATTATTCGGCATTTTTAACATTCGCTTTTTGTTAATTAAAGTATGTACGTACGCTATATATGTCATATCAGATAGCGATAATCATTTCCTTTTGACGATTGTTACTATGACAAAAAAAAAATTGTCTTTGTTCTTTTTTGTTAATAACATTAATGTTAATACATAAATGAAATCCAAAAAACATTGACTAGAAAAATGGAAATATATCAATCCAGAGTAATGGCCAATAACAATAATAATCAAAGCAAAATTTTAACTTTATTAATTGTAATAATTATATTACTATTAATAAATTTAATCAAATAAAACAAATTTATTATTTCTTTTGTGGATTAGAAAAATAAGTTGTCGAATATAATTCTTACATATTTGTTATGTGAATAAAATAAAACAAATTTATTATTTCTTTTGTGGATTAGAAAAATAAATTGCCAAATATAATTCTTACATATTTCTGTATTATATAAAACAAAATTAATAAAATTCTAGACAAAAACAAGAATTCAAAAAATACAATTCCAGTATTGTTTAAAAACTAGTTTATCGATAAAGTAAAATTTAAAATTAGAGAATGTTTTTATATTGATGCCAAATTTTGCTTAAAAAAATAAATTACTGTAGTTGCAAGCTTATTTATTTTATGAAAAAAACAATAAACTTTCGTAGAGTTATAACAATTGCAATAATAAATAGTATTAAAGAACTTATCGCACCAATAATAATCCCAATAATTAAATTAGGGATTTTATCATTATTACTTGAATCTGAAGTAGTTGTATGATTTGAAATTGGATTATTTGTATAACTTGAAATTGGATTATTAGTTTTATTTTGAGATTGGGAAGGACATATTAATCCTCCACATTGTGCACAAGAATCTCTATAACCATAATTATAGACTTGACCTTGAGAACTATATTCATAAACATTTGTAGAATCACATCCTATAAAATAAATTATTATATAAAATATTCATTTTTGGATTGAAAGTTTTATTCATTACATACCAGTCATGCCAGAATATCCACCACAATATTGACCTTGTAAGAGACCTGTACATGTATATGAAGTATTAAAATTACATTGTGAAAAAACAAAAAAAACAAATTGCGTAAATACATAAAGATGAAACAACATAGATATCAAAAATCAAATATTGATAGTAAAATTTGGTAAACATTTGAATAAATTTTGTAGATATTGAGATACAAAAATTTATCGTTCACAAGAAATATTAATTTAACTAAGTAAAAAAAACTCTCGCATATTTAAATGAATGATCAACTATTTGGAATTTTTTGTACTGTATACAAAAAATAATCATACAAATGATATGGATTACTGTACAGCCAAATATTATCTATAAATAAATGATAAATAACATACTTAATATTAATCTAGTGTTACAATTTCTGCACAAATATGCGGTACAAATATCCAATTTTACAATTTATTTGGTATACAAAACCTTAATATTGTTAAAATATTGAAGCCAAGAATTGGTAATATGACCCGTATATGTAGATATTTATCGGTTTAAAGTAACTCATAGATTATTTATATTAATAGTATACAAAATAATGGTATAAGTTTGCTTTAAAGATTTCTTTGTGAAGATTTTATATGGAACTTTCTCTTTATTTTTTTTAAGATGAAATCAAGTGTATTTATTTTGATTATTATAGCTTTTTTACCTATTGTTTTTTCTCAAATAGGTAGATGTGGGTTAAATGAATTTTCTATGTGTATTCCTGGTCCTGATTGTTATGAATGCAGAGGAATTGATTGCTTTTGTATTAGATCTAAGCCTTTAACTTGCAATCCGATAACCCGCACTTCACCAAGAAAATGTATTAATAAGAAATGTGGATATGATAATACAATTAGTAATCTTAGTATTACAGAAGTAACCAACCTTAAACGTTTTATTACTTATTCTATGATTTCTTATTGCCTAAATTCTGCAACTTGGAAATGTGGACCACTTTGTGATCGTATTCCTCAAGCTGTTGTTGTAAAGACATTTACAATTAAACCTAACTTTTGGATACAGCTCTTTGGGTGTAAGTTATGACACTGATTTTTGAAAATTTTTAGAAAATTAACTTATTATCTTTCTTTATAGCGGATGCTTATGCTTATACAGTGATTACTACAAACTCTAATGATCAGGAGATCGTTGTCACGTTCAGAGGAACTGCTGATGACAGAAATAAAATGAAGAACTTTGAATTTGCACAAGCTCCACATGGATATGCATCAACATCTATTCCAACTTCTTCTGATGATGTTAAAGTTCATTATGGCTTCTATTCGAGTTTTCTTCTTTTCCAAATGCCAATACGAGATTAAATTAATTTATTAACTAAACAATATCCTAATTATAAAATTATTATAACCGGCTATAGTTTTGGCGGTGGTTTGTAAACAATTTTTGATCAATTCTGATTAATATTAATTATTGATTTTTACTAACTATTTAAATAAATAGCTTTAGCTTTATTGACAGCACTAGATATTAAGCAATTTTTTAAAGAAGCTAGTTCGTACCTTTACACATATAGTGAACCTTGGGTTGAAAATTCAAAGTTTGCTTCATTTGTAAACAATAATTTGGTAATATTTTTATCTAAGTAATCATTTCGATTTTATAGATTACTTAATAATTAGATAATTTCAAATATAGAACCTTATTTTAAGAGTTGTCAATAAAGCTAAACTTGTACTCCATCTACCACCACTTATTGCTGGTTATGAACATCATAAAGGCGAAGTTTGGATTGCTGATCCGACAAACGTAGTTAAGTGTTCAGATGATGAGAACTATGTAAATATAAAAATAAACATTTATATATTAAAACAAAATAAATATTTATATATTAAAACAAAATATATATATATTTTTTTATAACTAATTTTTTTTCTTTAGTCTTGTTCTGATTCTGTTCCAATGCCAATTATGGATGATCATTTTGGTCCGTATTGGGATATTTCTATTAATACTGGATTATGTAAATAGGTTTAGGTGTATATGAAAAAAATTTTTATTAAGATAGTTATATATAATGATATACTATTTTTATCAATATAAGCTTATAAATTAGGTTATATATAGGTTCAAAAGCTATTAAATATTAACAAAATTAGTGTATCCTCAATACTTGTGCTGATTATTCTTAAAGATTTTTAAATGTTATAAGTATTTTATTATTAAAAAATGGCTAACTTTAATTATTAATTTTACAATGTATATATTATTTACTAGTTTTTTAAATAGTCATCAATTGTTACAAACACATAAATAGTGCAAATAATTTGAGTGTCAATAAGCAGGTAAGAAATTTTAGCTAAATATTTTTTCACTTAAAAGAAAACAAAAAAAATGAAACATAAAAACCCACCAATTTTTCAAGTAACAAGAAGGGAAAAGAATAAATACAGTATGCTTCATTATAGAATTTAGATAATTTCTCATAACTTTTTATAGGTTAATAATATTCTAAAGACTGATATGGTAAAGGAGGGCCCTGACTATTAGTATACTAGTCTTTAACCCGGTGCGTAGCACCGGGCTTTAACGTTATTAAATAAAAAAACTCAATATATTACTTATTTTTAATATTTATTTAATAATTTTAATAATTTTTAATTATATTTATTAGCAACACACAACTAAACATTTTCTAAAAACAACTTAATTAAAGACAATATAACTTGTATTGCTTTGCTAATGCTCGGCAATACCAACTGAGCTCACTTCACTCACTTAGTAGTCACTTGCTACAGCTATTGCCTCTGCACCACTCTTGTTATCTAATACTAATACTAACTATAACTTTAACTCTAACCCTAACTAATCTTAATTTTAATATTCTAACCCTAACCCTAACCCTAATCCTAGAACATATTAACCAGTTAAATTTTATTAAAATGTCATACATATATACAAAAATTAATATATATAAATTATTAATAATATTTTTAAATTAGTATTTACAAAATAATTAATTAAAAATTTTTCTATATATAAAAATTAATATATACAAAATTATAAATAATACTTTTATCATATATATAAAATTATTAATAATATTTTTTAAAATAATAATTACAAAGAAAAAATTTCTCTATATACAATATTTTTAGTATAAGCTCCATCTTTGCTTTTAACAAATCTATTTTTAATTAAAATTTTTATATCATTTTTAGATTGCACTCTAGACAAAATAACATATAATTGTCCATGTACAAAAACAGAAGAAGGAAGATATAATCCAACATTAGATATTGTTTAGCCTTGAGCTTTATTAATTGTTATTGTAAAAGCCAAATGAATTGGAAACTGGTGATAACTTAATTGAAAAGGTAATGTTGTATTAGATAGTGTTATTTGAATTTGAAAAATATATACTCTTTTACCAAGATGTGCTCTAGTAAGAATTTTAGCATCAAGAACATGCTGATTTATATATTTAATAATTAATCTGGTACCATTACAAAGTCCATCAACAGGACTTATATTTTGTAAAAGAATAACAGGAGTTCCAACTTTTAGTACTAGTTTATAAGGAGAAGATCCACTTGAAGTAAGTGTATTTAGGAATTCAATAGAAAAATAATTTTGAATATCCTAATTATTATCTTTAAGAATTTGTTTATTAATTGTATCTACATTATTATTTCTTAATGTAAGAATTGCTTTGTCTTAATATAAGTTAAATAATTTTTAGTATAAAATTTAGTATTAATATCTTTAAATAGCCAAGATATTAATAATTCAATATTTTCATTATTAAAGACCATAGTATAATCTAATTTAATAATATTATCATGAATATCAGAATAAGTTTCTTTTTTACCTTCACTGATTTGTAATAAATCTTTAGCAAATTGAATTGCTTTTTTATTATTTTTCCAAACTCTCATATTAATTGTTAATGCTAATTGTTTAATAGAACTCCATAAATAAGATTTTTTTAAGAGAAGTATTAACAACTTGAGCAGGATTTCTTCAAACCACTACAGGTAAAATTTGTCTAAAATTACCACTAAATAAAATTATTTTGTCTCCAAATAGTTCATCATAATTATTTATAATGTCCTTAAAAAATCTGTTAAGTACTTCAAAAGCAAGCTTATTTGTTATTGGTGCTTTATCCCAAATAATTAATTTTGTATTTCTAATTAATTCAGCCAACTCAGATTGAGCACTAATATTTAAAGTAGTTTCATTTGTTATAGTTAAAGAAATTTTAATTCTTGAATGAGCAGTTGTTCCTCCAACTAATAACAAAGCAGCAATTCTAGATGAAGCGACTGCAAGAGCAATACCAAATTCTTTTCTTATTCTTGCTAAAATTAAATTAAATAAAAAAGTTTTTCCAGTACCTCCAGGACTATCAACAAAAAATAATTTATTATCAATTTCATTTTTGAGAGCTTTTATAATTATATCATAAATATATTTTTGATTGGGATTTAAAGAGCTTTTCCTTGTTAAAATTTCATCTAATTCATTGTCTAAATAATGTTCATCATTAAAAAATTGATTTTTCATATTAATTTCTTCAATATTTAAACCTGCTAAAAAATAATCAGGTTTATCAAAATTAAAATCAACTAAGGTTTTTTCAAAATGAATTAAATATTTTTCATATCTATTAAAGCCTTTGTTTGAAATAAATTATCTTCATTATTACTTAATTCAAAAGGCTGTTTTCTAATAGCTCTGCAATAATCTTCAATTAATGATTCATAATTATTATCAAATAACTTTTTTATATTTAATTCTTTTGGATCACAAAATAATAATATAGAGGCAAATAATCATCTTAATTGAGATGGTATTCTATATGTAGCAGCCTCTTTTAAACATCTATCATATTCATTATTTTCTTTATCTAAGAGACCAAGTTCACATACAGCTTGTTAAATGTTTTACAAAAAACTCCATTAATTGTACGTAAATTTTCAAAAGAGGTAGCACCAGGTATTTGAGTTAATAAAATTCTCAAACAAAATCTTTCTCTATCTCTTGGGCTAAATACATATAATCTTGATATTACTTTTTTACCACCAAGTTTTCTTTTTTTCTAATTTCCACTTTTCTATCTAAAGAACTTTGGAAAATCTATATATTTTAGATTCATAATATCTAAATTTTCCTGATTATTATTACATATTTCAAAATAATGAGTTAATTTGGTATTAGAGGATTTTGCTATAATATTTGATATATTTAATGGCTTAAAACTAGTACTCAATGTTGAATAACTCAAAAGAGAATTGCTTTGAAAAATTTCACCAGCAATTCTGACTAACGAAAAAATTTCATGAACTTATCAAAGGCTATCAGCTTCTGTTATCTAAACCAAAGAATTTCTATTATAAACTGAAAAGTTTCGTCATCTAAACCAGTCTTGAACTATAAATATTCGGGCTTTTACTATAAATGACCCATTTTGCAAGTCATTTATAGCAAAATCTATATTTTAAAGAAAAGAACGTGTTACTACTTATAATAAATTAAATAAGTAAACCTTAAAAAAAATTACTTATTGATTATGTTTTTAGCTATAAACCTCTATACTGGAATAAATGATAGCTCATTTGGCTTTTCATTAGATCACAGATATTCAGTTGCTCTTTGACAAAAGGGCAGATAGTAAAGATAAGTACATGTCCCTCAAGCTAAACAATATAACTTTGCCAATTATTTAGCTAATTTAAATTCACACCAAATTGATTTTTGAGTGAAATAAAAAAAATTATAATAGTTATTTTGAAATTATTGGTCTAAAATAATTAAAATAGTAAGTAATTTCTAATTAAACAAATCATAGTACAATTTCTGTTGAGTTTTTAAACTATTATATTCAGCTCTAAGTTGGTAACTAAATGAATTTTGACAAGAAATTCATTGAGAATTTTCTGTACAGACCCAATTAATACATCGTAAACCACTATTAATATTATAGTCCTTTACAAATATTTTAAAATAAAAATTTTTGAATTGTTCAATTTTGGTTTGTAAATAAAGTATTTCTGAATGTATATCATTGTTTTTTTTAGGAAGTAAATGCTCATAATCATAAAGAATGTCTTTTTAAGAAGATTGATTTGGTCTTTGAGATATTCTTCTTTTGTTAGAAATTCTTCAACTTCTTCTATGGATTTGCTATAATTTTCTCTATTAATAGCTTCAGAAACAGATAATTTTTTGTTTAGGTCTGGTTCATAAGTTTCTCTATTAATGTTATCAACTCAGGGTGCCATTGTAAATATTAATTTAAATATGAAAATTCGCTTACAACCCAGGGCGCTACTGTAACTTTATATACAAGTAAAAGGAAAAATTTTTGCAAAAACTTCTTTGTAAAAAAATACGGTTTTTCCTACTGCTAAAAAAAATGATTAATTAGGTGAGATCGACTTCTTCAACTGGAATTTGTTCACAGTTTATAGTACAATGACCTTCAGTATAGCAGAAAGAGCAAGTTTTAAACAAATTTTTATTATTTTGTGAACTTGTAATAATAATATATTCTTCCAATCTTCAAATTGAACTTGAAATATTTCACGTGATTGGATTCTGAAATTTGACAATAGCGATAAGATTATAAGAACATGTAAATTGTTGCAAAATAGGTAATGTAATATATCTAAGCTAGCACAAGTGCTAACACTTACGCACATTAAGTAAGACCAAACTCACATCATTTACTTATTAAGGTTTGAAGGGTTTAATTAATACTACTGTGCGATATAATTCAATTGTTTCCCATTATGAATATATTTTTTTCAACCTTTTTTAAAATATTTCACCTGACTAGAGCAGTTTCAAAATTGTCGTCTCCGATTTTCATGATGAATGAAAGGTTATCGTTGTCTTCAACCGTCACAATGAACAATAGTCATAAGATTTCATTACTAGGTTTCAAAATTTAGATAAATAATTTTTTTTGATAAATACAGAATTAAATATTTTTATTTAAAATAAAAGCTATAGATATGGGTGGCGTGGGTGATAGTACTGAAGCTTCCCAAGAGGAAACTACGCAAAATGTCATTTTATAAGCTCTAGAAGTAAATACATGTAAAATTTGGGTAATTATCTCTTGGATTTAAAATAATTTGAACTTATATAGTCCGGATACAGACATATAAACACTGCATCAAAATATGGCAATGAAGAGGACATTGGAATTAGAATTATCAAAAGGTAAACTTTTACTAATTAAATGTTTTATATCATTATACAACTTTGTTAATTTTACTTTTTAGTGGTATTCCGCGTGATCAAATTTTTATTACTACAAAAATCTGGGATATGGGTATGAAATACAAAAGAATTTTAGAAATTGCTCTTGATCATTCATGATAGACAGATATTACGTTTATAATCAAAAGCTGGAAATTTATATAGATAGATATAAATATCAATACGAAAGCAATTGTCACAGGTTAAACATAAAAAAACTTTTTAAACTACTATTCTAAAAAGAAATTAAATCGATTTTTTTCTTTATGTAAATGAAAGAAATAACTCTAGACATAATATTAGTTTTTACAAAATTTTATTCTAAACCGTTAAGGCTATATCTTTATATAAAAATTGAGATCTATATAAAAATTTTAAATAATAAATTTTGCTACTACCCGGGTTGGCTTGACCCATACGGGTCAGAATTTTGATGAGTCACAGGTCAAAAACTACCTCACTATTTTTTGACCTGGGTCACAGCTCTATTTCATGAGATGATACTTATTTGTTTTATTGAGGTAGTCCTATCACTAATTAATTTAACAATAGAAAATTTTAAAATTATATTTTTAATATACCATATAGTTCCGAAATTAAGCACCCCCCGAAATTAAGCACCACCAACCAGATCAAGACGATTCTAATGGCAGTAAAATCATTAAAATTAGTGCAGTAGAACTCTCACAATTGCTCTTCAGATTTGGGCGAATTTTGTTTAGGAATTTGCAAATTATGTAAAACAAATATAAAAAAACATCGACCAAATTTTTAAGAGAAATTGCGAAAGTTTCACTGGACCAATTTTGATGATTTTACTGCCGTTAGAGCCTTTTTGGTCTAGAGAATAGTTTTATTAGAAATAGAAGGTAGGTTTACTTAGTACAAAAATCCTATATTATTCATTCCTGTATTATTAAAATTATATCCGAAAATAAGCACCTCTTATAACAAAAAAAGTGGTGCTTAATTTCGGTACTATACGGTATTTTTCTGATCTGGAATTTTAATTTCATTATTTGTTGTAAAATAATTTTTTAACATTATATTAACTTTATAAAGAATCCGATTATAAATTAATTTTAATGGTTTATTATTTGATTTAATATTAAGCAATTTGGTTTATTTAATTTGATTGTAATGAAAAAGTTCAAAGAAATGAAGCCTTTTAACTTTTGTGTTATATTTTTATTGTATAAGAAAAAGTTAATTGTTGATTTCTAATTTGCGGAATTAAAAAAAAAACCAATAAACATTTGTGGTTGAGTCAATAGAAACCAAGCAAAATTTTTTTAATAAATTTTTTAAAAACTTTAAGCAAAGATAACTTAAAAAAAATTTAATCTTTTTTTTTAAAAAAAATTAATTTTACAAGGTTGTAAAATTATTTAATTAAATTTGGTTAAGGTTTTATTAAGATATTCTAGTTTAAAACTAAAAAAAACTTTATTATAAAAAATCTGCTTGATTTCTATTGACTCACCCTATTTAATGACTTAAGATTTCAATTATATGATGTAATAAATAAAATTTTCTCTGACAAAGTTTGTTAAATTTATACTAATAGTTGAGCAATTAACTTTCTCTCACATAGCGTTTCTAAATTTTTACACTTTTCAGTCCATCGATGATTATAACTTTGAAATGATGCCCCAGATTGTTTTTTAATTGAATTTTATCAATTAATTTTAATAAACTGAAACTCAATTTCAATTTTATAAATATTGACAGTATTGTATATTAATAGACCAAATCAAGATTATTGAATTATGCAGTCCCTAGTGACAATACTGTACAAAAAAACAACAGTTTTTATTTTCATTGGAGGTAATTCCGTTATTACTTCATTAAATGTTTTTAAATATATACAATCTATATTAAATATTACTGAATTACAAAAATGGATCAATTAATCTGATAATCTATTAACTGTTTCTAGCAGCCTATTGCAACCATCTATTAAATTGCTTAGCATATTCTAAGTTTGGGATAGTTTCTCTTTTTGTAATTCCTTGTTTATTTAAATACAAGAGACTCAAATAATATCCAGCTTCTGAATATGTCCCCAAATCGTCTAGTTTTAGGAGAATTGGAAATATTTCATCATCTTTTTTTTTTTGGTTTTATCAATACAAATCTTAAAAATAAAGTTCTGCTGAGCTACTAACGTTAACAAGTTCAGTAGAAGCAGAGACACGCGTAAAATATTCATTATCTTCTATTTTTTATTTTTTGTTAAATCTTTAATTGTATGCAGATATGATTTTACTAATAGTTCCATAAAGGTAAGGCAAACACTAATTACTATATTTTTTAAAAAAACTGCTCTTCAAATATTTAGTTTTAGTTTTGATATTAGTTATTAATTAATCAAGATTTAACTAGGCCAAATATTATATTTAGCTTAATCCAGCATATAAAATTAAAATCAATTATCTTAATTTGATTTATAAATTTATAATTAAAATTAATTGATGTCTTGATTTCAATTTTGTGAAAGAAATTCTAAAATTAAGAGAATTTTTAAGGAGAATTGACAATAGCTTTGGAATATTGGCCGATCAGCTTAATAATAAAGTGTTATACGAAACATTAATTAGAAAGAAAAAATTTTACCAAAAATTTATTCGTCTGAATTTATGTGATATATTGTCACGATGGGTAGCAATTTCGAAATTTTATTAAAATAAACAAAATTTTTTATATTTACTACTTCATGTGCATCTAATAAAGTTATTAGTACTTTATGAAATAAGTAATGCAAAGGGAAAACCAACCTTCTAATTCACCATATAGACACTTTATTTAAAAAGTTAATTGTTTTAAGTATATTTACAGTATATGGCACAAGGAAGAACTAGGGAAATAACAACTAATGTTGGTGAAATAACATTCTACAATAAAATTAGTTAATTGTGTGATCATACAGAAGCATTAACTAAATTCTATTAAAAGTCTGCTACAAGATTGAGATTCAATTCTGGTTGTTAAACGATCAGCTAAAGTGGGAGACAGACCTTCCTAAAATTCAGTAGAGTAAGACTTGAAAGGCTTTTCCCAAGCTCCAGCTAATAAAATGTAGTGTCATTTGTTTTGGGCATAACGAACCTTTATTTGATCCATCTTTGATATCTGGGTTTAGATGTCCAAAATTCTGCGGTGATAATTCTGCTCGAACTAAAAATATCTTTTTGTATTGTCTGTGTAAGATAAGCATGGCTTTAATCATTTTCAAAAACTAATACAATACAAAAAAAATATTTTTAGAACGAGCAGAATTATGCACTGCAGAATTCTGGATACTCTAATTTGGATGATTTTAATACTATTAGAATCGTCTTACTGAGACAATTCGAATTGTACTAAAATCTTACCATTTTTTGTTTAAATTGAGTTTAGTATTAATTATTTTGAATTAAAAATTTTTAATTAGACTCTAGCTATTTATTTTTCTAATAGAATAAACTATATACTGTAAAAAAAAGAATTATTCTGGTCTGATCGAAAAAATAAATTTCAAAATTTTTATAAAAAATACATTTTCATCAATCACAGGGAAGATATTAGAAAGGCTATTATCAACGTCAAAACGAAAGTTATTTATTGAATATGAACCACATTTATAATACGCTTAGGATTCTTCGAATAAGAGTTTTCCCTTTGTAATACTCATATTTATTTAACAGTGCATGTATTGAAATCTTTTACCAAAATTAAGTTGGACACAATTTAGAAATTTAGTTTTTTTGATAGTATCGGATTATCTTTTCATTTTTTAAAATCCTTCAAATCAGATTCATCCTTAAGCACGGAAATCATTATTTACTAGTGTTACAAGAATTAAAAATTTATCAATAATATATAAAAAAACTAAAAATAAGAACGAAGAAAATAGGGATGTCATTGGCTTTACTTAAAGCCAGCTATAGCCACGGTTTGAAGCCAAGCTGAAGTTAAGCTAAGCTAATAGTTTAAGCTATAGTTTGAGCTATTCTAAGTTAGTAAAAACACTAGATACCTTTTGTAATTGATGCGTCAAAAAAAAAAAAAAACTTAAAATCAATTAAAGAACTTTCATTAATTAACTGGTGGTAATTAAAAATAATACAATAAATAAAGTTATTACATAGTTTTTATTTAAAATATATTGTACACACCTTATTTTTAATTCAATTTATAAATTAGATCTTTCAAATAAAAAAAGCTAAAAGTTACTATTTGATTGATTAAATTGAATTTATTACTATTAAATAAATTTAATTTCAATAACTTTAAATATAAATTCTTGCTAAATATTGTTTTGTGGATTCTAGCCAAAGAATTACAAGTAATAAAACATATTTAATTGAACTAATTTTTTTAAAGATTTTATAATTGAAATAAAGTTAATGAACTTTAATATATTATGGATTTAATATGAAAATGGAATCCAATGGATTTTGGGTCAAATCACTATTAATTTGGTCCCTTTATCCAGCAAATAGCCCACATATTCAATTTTTGTATTATTTCAGTATAGTGACCCGAAATCTATTTCTATTAATGATACAACCTGTAAATTTTAACTAATATAAATTTATGGATATAGCATCTTCGTTTGGAGAACGTTAAAGCCAGTAGATATTTAATTCAATCTGCTAGATGAAACAAAAAATAAATAACTAAATATATAAAGAAATAAATATATAAAGAAATAGATATTAAAGGCTCAATGCGATGTCTTTTAACTAATAGACATTAACACATAATCTCTGTTTTAACCCTAATTTAATCAAATTAGTGTTAAGACATTTACATTACCTAGCTTTAATGTTTTAACTAAAATGACATATGATGCTTAATTTCTGATGCATGCTATAAGTATAAACAATCTTTTAAAGATAATTTTATTTATTACAGAACAGCCTATATTTGAAAATGCAACACCGATATTCGCTGCACAAACTGTTTTCAAAACTTCTAATGCTTTTACTCCCGAAGCTAAGGATAAGAGACTTTTAAGACTACTAATTCATTTATTTTATTCAGAAAAACAAAAAGTTCGGAGATTCGGGATAAAAATCCAAATGCTACCCTTTTTGAAATTTCTAAAATAATTGCTAAAATGTGGAATGAAGCATTGCCGAAAGAATGTTTAGCATTCAAAGAAATGGCAGAAGCAGTAAACCTTAAACATATTAAAGAAGATTCACCTAATAAGCAATATTAGAGTTATGACCCGGGTTGGAAAATACTGACTCGAACGGGTCAAGATATTGACCCGGGTTATGACCCAGATCAACGGGTCATATAGAAAATTATTAATTTTTTAAAGTTAGTGCAACCCTTGTGTAAAGCTAATGTAAAGACCAAAAAAATTGGATCCCTCCAATAAAAATAATATGCCAAAAAATAAAATTAGAAATATTTAAATAAATGTTTAAAGCCAATTTTATTTATGAATTGAGACTGAATTAGATAAACCTAAAGCTTTGGTATATTATCTAAAATCAGCTAAGGATGGTGTGGCGGAATTGCACAATACATTGTGCACTTACCCAGGATATAGAGTCGGTGAATATTACTTAAATGAATAAAAAAATTTTATATTGGCATATTTCAGCATCCTTGGATGCTGAAATAAAACACGTGACAATAGATATGGATCAAATTATAAGATCGGTCATATGGAAATAAATTAGTTAAATAAGTGACACATAAATTAGTGTAATAGGGTTTATAGAAAATGGCGTGAATAGTAATAAATTAATTAAAAGTCAAATGTGCATGATCAAACAGTGTAATTAAATTAGAGAAAGCGCGTATATAAGTAAAAGTGAAAAAAATAAAATTTAAGGTGTGCTTTTCTTTCTGTAAGTAATATACTCAAAACACATCGTTTGAAATACTTACCTTATTCGAACCTGTAGTGGTCGACATAGTTTAGCATGCTTATCGTTTGAGTTGAAAACCCCTATGACAAAGAGGATTTTTAAAATTATCATTTTCGCGGAATTGGTGTGGGAAAAGAATAACCGTTTTAGATGCTTGTACTGCATGTATATATATAAGATTGAATTAGTAAGCATTCCAAGATTATTGTTGTTGCTTCTATGGAATTGGTGTGGGAAAAGATTAACGAATTTAGATTTCCTGCATATATAGAATAGATTAGTAAGCATTTCCATGGAATTGGAGTGAGAAAAAAATAATGGTTTGATTTTTTGCTTGCACGTACGTACATACATAGAATTGATTAATAGTGCTTCTGTGGTACTGGTTTGGGAAAAAAACGATGGATGGTTTTAGATTTATTGCGCCGTCGTACATATATAGAATCGTATTAGCAAGCATTTCAAAGTTTTTAATACCCAAATTTTACCGTTAAATACTTGCTAGATTGTCTGTAAAAAGTGAATTGTATCTGTTGAAGATTACAAGTATAATAACAATCACTGAATCTACCATTAACATAAAACAAAATTGCATATCGTAGGTACTATTATATAGTTGTTGTTATGATTTATAGTGTTTATTGCGAATAAGTAATTAACTATTATTTTATTCTGTAGAATAAAAATTATTGTAGTTCGCTGGACCTTGTAAGTATATTATAAAACACTCTATAAAAATCTGGCTAAATTTATTATAACACTCAAAGAATATGTAATTAATCAAGGACCAACAAAGTCATACCACAGATTTAAATTACAAGCGGATAAATAATGAACGATGAATATTTAGATAATATGGTGTTAAAGCCTGAGAATAGTGATCCATATAAGTCTGAGGATATTGATCCGAATGAGCCTGAGGATATTAATTTGTATAAGCCTGAGAATTCTGATTTGGATGAGCCTGAGAATTCTGATTTGGATGAGCCTGAAAATTCTGATTTGGATGAGCCTGAAGGTATTGATTTGGATGAGCCAGAATCTAATAATGCGGATAGTAATAATAATAATAAAAATTTATTTAAGTCCTCTACATTATTACAAACTGGTGGTCAATTGTTAGTCAAAAAATGAAAAAAAATTGAAAAGCCGGGCGGTAGTCTTGTTAAAAAATTTTATGTATCAAAAACAATTAATGATTTAGATTATTGGGTTTGTTGCTATAAAATTTGTATTCCACAGACAAAATATTTAATAGATGGTTCTACTTCGAATTTATGGAGACATTTGAGAAATAAGCATCATATTTCACGAGCTATGGTGGAAGGTGGTCAAGTAAAGATTGTGGTAAAGAGTAATGATAGTTGTAAATTTTCTGTAATGCCTGAATCTGTACAATCAATGATAGTATAGTCATTTAACAAAGTAAAAAAATATGTATTGAATAACCCCAAACAAAAAAATCTCGATAATAATATAGCTGCTTTTATTATTAAAGAGCTTCAACCATTTTCAATTATTCAATCACAAGCTTTTAAAAGAATAATTAAAGGACTTGATACCCAGGCTAATGTACTAAGTAATGATCTGTTAAAAGAAATTCTTATTAATTCTAAAAATAAAATTTTACAAAACATTCGTGAATATGCACTTGATAGTGCTGAAATTAGTTATGTTTTTTTTACCACTGATATGTGGACGTCAAACAATATATTGGACTTACCCTTCATTGATTAATGATAGTTTTCAAGTAAAAGAAATTACTGGTAACATTTCGTATCTCCCATATCCCCATACCGCTGAATGTCTTTTAAATAAAATTGTAGAAATTTTAGATAATTAACTTAAACATATAACTGTTAGTGGTACAATTGATAATGGGTTGAATATTAAGTTATGTTTAGAAAAGTTAGAAAAAAATATAGCATTTTTCGAATTCATTGCTTTGGACATACCTTACAACTTGCAATTAATGATGCATTAAAAGGGTGTTCCGAAATTGTCAACTTAATAAAAAGATGTAAGGATGTTGTATTACATTTTAGTGGAAATCCAAAGCAAAGGCAGTTTCTTTTAGAAGCGCAAATGAAGATAGAAGACTGGAATAGCTTTCTTTTTGTAGTTCGTGACGTCTCGACAAGATGGAATTCAACGTTTTATTTATTAAAACGACTAACAATTCTTAAACTAGCAATATATAGGTACAAATCATTTTTAGTTGAAATTAATGATAATACTTCATTGAGAAGTTATGAGGAAAAAGAGTTATTATCGGATGAATGGGAAAAAATAAATGAGTTAGTTAAATTACTATATCCGTACGAGGTCATTTCAAAAAAATTGTCTGGTTCACAGTATACAACACTTTCACAAGCATGGTTTGCTATTAATTTTATTAAAATAAAGCTTGATTGTGCAATAGTAAATAATGCTGATATTTAGAGATTTAGAGATTGTCTTTGTGAATCACTTTAGGAACGATTTTTGGAACTAACAAAACCAATTCGGCTTGCTGCTTTTTTTGACCCACAAACTAAAGATATGCAAATATTTACAGAAAATGAGAAAAATCAAACTATTTCAGAAGCACGTATAGAATATTTTAAGTTAGCTACAAATTATTATAAAACAGACAATTTATCAGATTCAGCATCTCATGATATAATATAAAAAATAGATTATTACTTGCCTTTACGCTATAATAGAGCTATGTATTACTAATGATTTTTTTTAACAAGTCAAAGTCTTGTTTTCAAAAAGAGCTTTTTCAACTGCTTTTTTGTTCTTAGTATTAAGATGCATATAATTTATAAATTCACTTAAATGTTTAATTGTTTGTAAGAACATTATCATTACTATGCTTGAAAAACGATATAAGCTGTTCAGTATTTATATTTTTTTATCATCATTATACAAGTGCCAATAATTTGATATAAACTTAAATTGTTCAAGTTTCTAAAATTTAAATAATTTTAATTCTTATTAATTAAAAAAAGCTACGATACTTTGTGAAATAAAATTACTCATAACATTGCAACAATTAAATTACTTTATATGATGCTCAATATATGTTTCCAAATTGAAAGCAACAATTTTATAAAAAATAATTTTATTAAATATTTCAATATTAAAATTAAAATTAAATATTATATTGAAATAAAAACCCAAATATATATATATATATTAGTTATTTGTATTGTAAGAATTCAGATAATTTTATAAAACTGTTGGTAATACCAGTAACTTAAATTATGTCAGAACAAGTATTTTTCAAAATATCGATATTCATACAAGCACAGAGCGTAATGATGCGAATTAAAGCCAAAATTTGAAATTACATCCGTGTTAGTTCATGCTTATACATAAACCAATTATTAAATTCAACAGATTATTTATTTATAGAAGAATTATAATCAATCTCAAAAATTTCAACAGAGAGTAAAAAATCTTGGAAACAGATATTCAAATAAGGGTCTTTTAGAAATTTATTTGGAGATTGCAAAAAATAATCCTGAATTCCTTATTGAGGCCAAGTATAAAATTGCATTTCACTATAAAACTCATGGGAAATACCAAGATATACTGAATATTGCCAAAGAAATTCCTGATGACTACAAAAATATAAAGATGCTCATGGCTTATTGCTACAAGAAAATTGATGATGAAGAAAGTGCTTTTAAACTCTATAAAGAAATTGCAAATAAAAATATATCTTCACAATCAGATGTGATAAAAAAGAAAGTCAAGAAAAAAAAAGAAACCCAGTTTTTTTTTGGTTATACATGGTAACAAATATATAATTGCTATATTTTTTTAACTATCAAAATTTTTCAATAATTAAAAGGATATATGTGCTGGTGCTTATATAAGTGTCAACTTGTATTGTGCCTGTGCCTATACATGTTGGCAAAATCCCAAATTAATATTGTTTGAATTTGTCCACGCCCAAATCCCAAATTCATTTCAAATTAATTTCTCAAAAACTTTATTAATAATCTTTGTTTAAGCAAAAGATAGATATTTTTATTATTATAGATAATATATTTGCAAAATATTAAGACACTTTTTTGATTTAATCTTTTACAAATAGCAATTGTTTTTTTGAATTTGGGATTTATCCGGGTTTTGCCAGCAAGTATACCTGTGCCCCAAATTTTAAAACTAAGTTAGGTCCTTGTTTTAAACATTTTTTTGTTTGCAGAACCCTAATTTCAACAGTATAAATATTATAAGTTTTTTACAAACAAGAAGTATAACATGATATTAAAATATTTAAGAAAGTATTATCTTTATTGCTAATTATTAAATACTTTAATACTACATGTAGTTGAGTAAATAAATTCACAAAATAATATTAAATTGAACCCATTGAATATACCAATTGATTTTATTTAGCATTAAATCCAATAATACAGAATTTGGTTGATTTTATTTTAGAATGGTGAATTAATTATTTCTGGTAAAATTACTAATTAACTATATTCGCGGACACAATTGAACTTGACTAATTTTCCTGTATTGTTTGAAAATTTTTTTATAAAGTCTTCACTTTAGTTATACAATTACCTGTAAACAACAGTAGCAATCCTGGTAATCGATATCAACAAGTATAACTTCAATAAGATTAGCTTAACATTTTTTACTATTTTCTAGATTGTTCAAAAATCAAAAAATGTTCGAACAAACAGTAATTGATTTATTAGCTAAAAACTCTTTTAGTGTAAACTATGTTAAAAAGGAAAAATATAAATATCCATTCTTGAAAGTATCTTTTGGGCAATATTATTATCATCTCATTATCTGGGATAAAGACACTATTACCATAAAAAATATACTAGACATAGAAAAAGAAAGGTTAAAGCTTTACAAATTTGAAAATGTAAACAGGAAAAATTCAGCTATACTTGTTTATAAGTCTAGTTTAGGGAACAAAGTTAGTAATTAATTCAAGAAAATGGATAATATAAGATACACCAATCAACCAAACCTTGCTAATCCTGATTTTTTAACCGAAAATAAGAAAAATATCATTAATTATCTTTATAATACCATTTACTTAAATTATTCAGATTTAACGGGAATTCCAAATATGAATAATCTTGATTTTATTCAGTTTATGAAAACTAAAGTGAAAAATCCTGAGGATATTGAAAAAAATTTATTGAAATTTGTTTTTACAAAAAAAATACCTTTAACTAAACAAAATAAATGCCTTTCCAGGAGTATTAAAAATATCTTAATGAAAAAGCCTATGGTGGGCTATAGAGTTATTTATAGGGATAGCAAATGTATTTTATTACGTAATTAAAAACAAGTGAAGATAAATTAAAAAACAGGTATGTTCCAGTGAAGTTTTCACTAGAACTGATATTACTGAACCAGAATTTGCAAATAAAGTTTATACGCAAAAGATCTTAATTTACTTGTTCTTTGCTCTGACAATTAACGTATGATGACTACATACTGTATTTATAGTTAACCTTAATTCTTCTAAATTATCCTCAAATATATTA